ACCGTGCCACCAGTACTTATACTAACCCAACTCTACATAGTTTGGAATATTGATGCCGTCTGAAATAAGCGATTTTCTAATCTGATAGTTTCCTCGAAAATTACATTTCACGTAAGTTTGTTCTGGAGTGTCTTATGGAAGTACGGGGCCCGATCCAGCTTGATTTCAAGCTAGGTCGCCCCTGAAACTATGCAACGACGTCCAGATGCCTCGAGTCGCCCTCCCGGTAATCAAACAGATATGAAACGACTTTGGAATTCTAACGCGTGGGGCACTTGGAGAGGCCCTCACTGTGCAGTGCACTTGCTTACAACGAGTTCGGGAGTTCCGAATTTTGAGAGACCCAGAACTTGATAACACATCGCGTACTCTCTATGCGTTCCATAAATCCCTGAAAAGGTTAAAGGATAAGTACAAAGTCAAGTGTGGGATCCTTTGAGTTGTTCTCGAGTTTTCGCGTGGACAGTTCGGACTGAACCTGCTTATAGTCTAGACTGGGTAGCAAGGCCTAGTGAGCCAACCGACCTGGGGAGAAGATGAGATACACACCCGGGAGGTTCCTCACTAGCTCGCAATAACTATACAGCGATGATAATCTATCGTGCAAGCTGCTCGTCTCTGAGCATTGATTTTCGCCCCCGAGTCTGCTGTAAACGTATACTAGCGCTCCTATCGGATTGATATCGCCAGAGGAGGTCCAAATCTGACATACGCACTACAATCGAGGTCCAAAAATCAACCTAGAAATTAGCGATGTCCGGATTGCCATCACCGTAATTCCTCATGTTGTACCAGTGTCGTCCTCGTGTTGATTCCTGTTCAGCAGCTCTGGCCTTATGGCCCACATAGGAGATGGCTTCCAAAAATTGTCCAACATCACCTGTTTTCCCCCCTCTGCTCCGCTTCGTTATGAGCTATTCATAGCATGGCCGAGCTAGTATTCCGAACGGCAAACTATATGGGTACATAATGTTTTAATGTTGAACTTGTATCAGACGTCCGAGTCGACCTCTCACCACGACTAGCCCCATTGCAAGCATTTTCCTCGAGAGAATATCAGGTTGTTTTGAAAGTATTCAGGACACTCAAGGTTACAGGACGCATCCTGAGGACGTTGACAGACGTTGATACTGCCACACAGTAATGCTCAGATCTGCAGACGCCGACGGTACGAAGGTAAGCTTTCCATGTTAAGAATTCCCCCGTTTGAACTTGTATTCAGAATCTACTACTGCTGCAGGACTGCGAATAAAAAGGATTTCCAAATGAACCTCGACGCTCCGTTCACAGCTTTGGCAAGGCTACCAGACCAGAGAGCTTGATACACCGACTGCGGCTCATTTGCTCTATGGGACCTGAACGAACTGCGCATCCGTATTCTAGCGTATCCTTCATCCTGGTCTGAATATTGAACGCGTTGCACAACGCTTACCACAATTTTCTCACGATCGATATATGCCCTGAATTTTTCTGTATGTGATTTTCTTCTTTATAGGTCGACGACGTTGACATTCTCTCACCGCCCACTCTTTACCTACACTGTCACTCCTTTGATTCATCACAGCCTTGCTAACTTGACAAAAGGTGAGCATGATTTCGAAGGCCCTCATCAAGCTTATAACGTATACTTTGCAGTTTTACTTTCAACCCTACATTCCTATTCAACACAATGGTTTCTTCGTTCTCTCTCGCCCTCCTCCTCGCTTCTGCAGCCTCTACTCTTCTTGTTCGAGCTGACCTCGTTCCTGACACCCCTTCCACTGGAACGGCAGGTTCAACGTGCTCTATAACTTGGGCAGGCGATTCTAGCTCAAGCTCTAACTGGTCCGATATGGCCATCGAATTCATGACCGGAGACAACTTTGACATGGTTTTCCTTACCAGTACGCAAACTTCCCCTCGAGTGTTATAATTTCTCTAACGAAATAACTTATTTGCAGCTGTCGCTACCGGTTTGGATGGGACGAAGTCTGGTTCTTACAGCTGGACTTGCCCCGAGGTTAATCCCTACTCTGCCATCTACTTCTATCAGTTTATTTCGCCAGTCGAAAGCGGAAACCCTGTCTGGACTACTCGTTTTGCCATCGCGTCTTCATCAGGAGGAACTACGACACCACCTAATAGCACTCAGCCTGATGGTGAAGCCATTCCTTGGGGTACTGGTGCGCTCGTTGACGCATCCAGTGTGAGCGCTGTACCGTCCTTCGCGAGCGGCGTGACTTCTGGTAGCGTTCCCGCTACTTCGGCCTCCGTCTCAGTTTCAGTTTCGTCCTCGTTGTCAAGTGCCGCTGCCTCGTCCGTTTCTACTAGTGTCGCAAGTGCTAGTAAAAGCACTGGTGTCGTAACTGTTTCTGGTAACACTTCTGGGGCTGCGGGTGCTAAAACTACTACTACTACTTCTGTTTCCACTACCGGGGCGGACGAAGCTGCATCAACCCCGAGCTCCGCAAATGCTGGGCTTGTCCTTGCTGTTGATGCACGGGTATGGACAGCTACTTTCGGCGTCATCAGCTCTGCGATGGCTCTTGCCCTGTTCTTGTGACAGGTCACAGAACGTTCAGCGTAGCGCTCAGGTCATTGGTATTCATCTTGTGCTTGGCGAGATGTCAAATTTCAATCGATGTTGAGCGCTGAGCTTCCTACCGCGATGTTCCACCTTGGTTACATGGATAGTAGACATTTCTAATGGCAAATCAGACAACGAAGCTTCCATGTGTTCATACCTGTCCCCATTGGCCTCCATTGGCGCGCATTTCTTCTGTTCGTGTTCGATTTTTTTTATTTCGGGTTTCTTGTGCCGCCTACATACTATAATACCACCTGTTGCTTCCCATCAATCTACATACCGCATGGATCATCTTCTACATTTCATCCAACATGAAATCATACACTGCACGGAGTTAGGATAACACAATATTGCATTCATGATAAACCATCTACATCGTACATCTAGCACCCAGGTTGAATAATGATATGTTATACGTCTGGCTCACAGACAATTGCACCACCAGACTCCCGATCCTTGAAGTTATAGTTCATCTTTGGGTGCCGACGCGGGCTCTGGTTCAGATGCTTGTTCCGATGCTTGTTCATCCACTGGCGCTTCTGATGGTTCTGGGGTAGCAGCAGGTGCTGGCTCACTTGCAGCAAATGCTGCTTGATCCTTTGCATCACCAGTTTCCACCGCCGGTTCCACTGCTATCGACTCACTTCCAGTCGCCTTTTTCTTTTTCTGAGGTAGGTCTCCCAACATTCCTGGGTACCCTTGAGAGCCGTGCGGATTATGGCCCTTCTTCAAAGCGTCCTCGAAGTCAATGAAGTTAGCGAATCCTCCGTGTGCAAGAGCGATCCGTTGAGCTTCCTGTTTTCGTTCAATTTCAAGTTCAGCTTCGTCTGGAACGAACTCCTCAGAAGCGGCTTCTTCATTGACGATTTTCAAGTCAGCGGTGCCATCAATGACCGATTCGAAGAATTTGGAAAGAGAGTCAAGTTTGTTGATGCCTAGTACAAGTTCAGACGACTGACTTCTGGTGAGATGTATAGTGCAACATGTAACTGACCTTCGTATCGCACGGGCGTCGTCGATCCAGGTGGGTAGATGAGGACCTTGGATGATTTCTGTTCGCCTGCTTCATAGCCCAATGCAACAGAACTCTTCCCCTTGCGATCACGATGAGAAGCAAGTTCGATTTTCCCTGCAAATTTGTTGCCTAGGACTGTCCATAATAAAGGAATTATTTTTTCCTTGGTGAGAAGGAGTGCGCGAGGAAGTCCACGTTCTGCACTCTGATACGGACCATTAGCTCGACCTCAAGGACAGAGTAGAATAGTGTCGTACCTCTTCTGCCCATTGCTGAATATCATTCAATTGCCCAATTTTTTTGACATGGTTAGGAACACGTCTCGATGCCCAGTAAAAGAATGAGCTTGCTGTCCGATCACCAGAATCATATGTAAGTGGGTTGAGTTGTTTTCCTCGAGGATACAGCTGAGCATTGACAGTATTAGAGAAGTGTCAAGGCAAAACGTATTGACTTGCCTTGATTGTTGGGAATCCTTGAACCCCCTACTCGTACTTGTGAGCGAAGTATGACATGATACTTACAGAACTCACCTGTTCGCTACACAAGCGCTTGTTGGCTTCGGCGTCGCAATCGACAGCGTATGTAGGAATGAGAGGGTAAAGACCTAATGCAGCCTTGCTGTACTCTGGAGCCATACGCTGGCAGTGCTGATTCGCAGTATGAGTACCTTGGGATAGGTAGAATAAATCGGACTTACACCACACCAAGGTGCTACAAATGCAACCATACTAGTTTCCTAGGCCAGATTGAGTATGCTGTTCCGATTATGAGTAAGATAGTACATACATTGGCCTTCATAGCTTTCCTGAACCCCTTCGGATCGAGCATCTTGACCACAGTGTCCTTTGGAAATATTGCAGCCGAGGCCGAAAGAGCCAGCGACAGTGCGACGACTAGAGTGGTCCGCATTTGTAGTTACAGGGATGAGAGATCGAGTTCACTTTTTATCCAAGGAACTTAGGAAGGTCCACGTCAGTGTGGGAATATTACACGTCCCGTGATCGGGAAATTCGGAAGTTATGGTAGCCAGGAGTGGTCTTATTCTGGGACCGGACGGTTTGAAATTCGAGTGGGATATACGATGTGCATTTGGTGAGACTCGAAAGATCAAAGGTGAGAAGAGAGAAGGGAGTATTCAAACCCAGAGGAACGCGTTGACTGCTGCCTGCCGTAAGACCCCGGGCCGGGAAATGACACCTTCACCTCATCGTTCCTCTCAATCGATCTTCCGGATCTAGAAATTTTGAATGACTTTGGAAGGTATGCTATTAACTGTGCGTAGCAGCACATCGAGCAATCAGAGATTTATAGACACCATGTGTACTTCAAGATTCTGCACCACTTACTGCGTTTCTTGGGACGTTCTTTCTGGTCTAAATGCAAGCTCAAGTACTCTTACACTTGGACCTAAATCAAGCTCGCTTAGCTCAGTGGTAGAGCATTGTACTTATGAGGTTGCGATAACACCTGCGCATTATGCAAGGGTCGGCAGTTCGACCCTGCCAGTGAGCATTATTTTTGCTTTTCTAAACCAACCTTCTAATTTTCCCCCTCCCACCTCATTTTGTTTGCTTGAGATCTCACATCCTCTCATTTGCTCTTTGCTCCAGTATTAGTACCGTGATACAATTCACTTTGTCCTTTCAAGAGGATACATTATTCTTCGATCTTCAAGTTGGTTCTAGTTGGTTATCTCAAACTTTTTAGTTTATTCCGAGTCCAAGCAGGTAAGTTTATAGAACACGTTAAATTCGGAATAGGTAATAGTAATGTTTGTAATGTCATTCGTTCTCCAGAAATGAATCGAGCGCAGCCAATATTGTACACAATAGCTTCTGGAAGGTTTGCCAAACTTTGCGAAGAAATTTAGAAGGTCTCGCCTGAGGTTGGCAGTACTGGGGTACTCGTCATTCCATTCCAACAATATTCCCGGAGCATTCCCGATTTGCCAACAACAATGTAGAGCATGCTCGTTTAACCCTGAAATTTTAGCCCTTCGCGTCCGGTAACCTCGTGTTAAATGCATGTTCCATGCAGGTTCCATGATTAGCTGCTGTGTTTTGAGATGGAATCTGAACGGATGACCTGCAATGTCACTCGGCGCGTGAGGTAGCAGCAAGGCCCCCAGAAAACATGCAGGCATCGTGTAGCTCCTTATCGCTCCATACTTAATGCTCATCATTGTAATGTATTCCAATCCCTATTGCCACCACCCTCATCCGATTGAGTTTTGCTGGTCACAAGAGAATGTTCCCTGTTTCTGACTTTAGTTTTGTCTATTGTGGAATGGCGACGGTTGCTGCGACGATGGGATATGTCTATGCCAAAAGGCGAAGAGTAGAGCCGTAAATATTGTTTCATCTTTTCTGGGGGACATATGCTCAATCTTGATGTAGTTACGGTCATTCGCTGGTTCTGGGGGATACGGCTTCACCGAATGATGACACCGTCTTTGCGAGGGAAAGCCCTGCTGATTCGAAGTCAGAGAGCGAAATACATTTGGTCAACTCCTCCGAAGAAATTGAAACACAAAGTATAACCGTCGACAGTACAATCATGGTGCCCGCTGCTTGGAGGCTAGAGCCGATAATCAGCGTTCCGAATCCTCCTGTAGCTAGAGGACCGTCGTTGAAGCGTAAGCAGATGCACGATCACGATGAAAATAATGTCGTACGTCCTGTTCCAATTTGGCCGAAAAGTACGAGTCGTTAATCTTTGAACGTTGACAGCCATTGGAGTACCCATACGTATGTGGACTATGTCTCTTTGCTGGACCAAGCACTGAGTCTCTTGTGTAGAATCTCGCGGCGCTGTACCCTAACAAACGCTGCAAAACCCCACCTTTGGCGCAGACGACTGGGCCAGAGATTCCCTTGCCCAAGGAATCTACACGGGTGAGTCCAATAACCTTTGCCAAAGAGAATTATAGTAGTGCTGACCTCCAACTTACAGCGTAGTAATGAAACCGTAGCCAATCCTGAGCCGACTCTAGAAATTCTGACTGAGCCAGTAGGTGATTCGTTGGAGCAACCTGCTAGTAAACGAAAACGACATGGAAGCGAAGAGTTGGAATATCCACAAGTCCAGCGTGATGACAGACCTCCGTTGATAGCAACTCAACTCTATTCTTCAACAAACTCTCAAAGTGAATGCGCACCTCAGGTTCCCCCAACGACTGAGAGCGATACTTTATCATCCAAGGTAAAGCCTTCGAGATAAATGTCGGTTTCAGAGCTCATGTTCTATACCAGCCTTCTGTTGCGACACTGGATCCGACACCACCAACACCACCCAGATTTGGCTCTTCAGGAAAGTTCGTTCCAAAGACGGAGACGAACGCGCTAGCGTTTGAATCTCGTCTCCCAGCTGCGCCCTCTTGCCGGTCCGCAAAACCAACGCCAGCGTCGCAAACATTTGCATTTGAAGGATTTGCGACTGCAACACCTGCTTTATTCAACAACGAAACGCTGGCCTCGGGAGCAAACATGAGACCAGTGTGGTCTACAGCCAACAGTTTCAGAAAGCGACATTCTTTCGTCGACAATCCCGATGATGTTTCTGCAAGCTCGGACAGTGGAGAGGCCCACGCCCTTGGCTTGGCTTCCCGCCGGGACTCACCATCTTACACCCGTCAGTATTTCCGCCAGCAGGAAAAGGAAGCACGCTTATCCAACAGATAGATGTGACCGGAGAGGAAGACGAGGACGTTCAGAGCGAGTTGAGGGGTGTTAAATTGTTTGTAAAGCGCGGCAGCAATGATTACTCGAGTGGTATTTTGGGACAGGTCAAGTACTTGTCGGATAAGAAGACTTTGGTTCAGCGGCTTCGTGAGTTCAAACTGTGATTATATCTTGATCCTAGCCCTGATTTACGAGCTTCAGTATTCCGTCGAGAACCGTTACGGAAGGTATCCATGAATATTCGTCTGCAACCCGCGGTTCGGTGCACATTCGATCCGCAGGAGTGCATCCTCAGACTCTTGCTGGCAGAGTCATCAGAATCAAAACCATCAGGCACAACGGAAATCGTTGTTTATGCTTTGAAGGTATGAGAACGTTTGATCTACCTCAGTCCGTTTCATTTACCGCGTGAAGCCGGGAAGGTTCTGTTCAAGGAAAGACTTCCAAACATTTTCAGAGTCTGTAATTGGGAATTCGAGCTTGAAGACAGTAGCTATATCAAGCACGGGGGATGAAGGTTCAAAACAAGGCTCGAGAGAAATCCAGAGTTGAACTCGAACAGTAATCCAAGCCAGATCCAAGCAGGTTCTTGGGAGGGATAATTTATCACATGTCACTGTAACTTACTCACGTTGTTTCAACTTGATCAGTCACCGCCATGAGCAACTATTTTGTTATAATTGACTGGTTAAATAGCTTGTTGCTCTTTGTCCCAGGATGTCAGCACTAACTGATATTTTGCCCGTTGAAACTCTACACGAAGTTGTATCTTCGTTGGATTCACCTTCTGACATTTTGTCTTTCGGGATCTCAAGTAAAGCGCTAGCGGACATTGCCATCCCTCGCCACCTCAAATTCCGCGTGTTTCGTGTCCGCATATCTCGCTCTGCGGCCATCTGGCGCTTCTTTTCTCAAGCAGATCTGACCGCAGGTGAAGTTCGCGAACTCGATATCCTACCTGAAAATATTTCAGATGTGTATCATGGTGATTATGGTCCGGATCGTTGGATGGCCGAGCCTTTGGTTCCCCCCAAGGAACTATTCGAAGGAGGACAGGCTCAACATTTTAAAGGCAGACCATCGTTTGAGCAAACGAGAAGAGATGAAATGCTCCTTATTGATGCTGTGAAGCAAATGAAGAATCTCCGGCGTTTTGGATGGTATCGATCACCGCCCCCCGTAATCGTCGAACAAGACGATCTTTGGAACACTTTAGGCAACCTAGGAAGCTTGGAAGAGTTGGATGTTGTTGATGAGCCGTTTTCGGTGCTTACTCATGCGCCGGCTGGTTACATAGCTGTAAAGCCGCTAGCCAGCACGGAAACGGTGCGTAATTATTTTGAAGTACGCTGATATCGCAGCTGAAAAACTACATCTGATAGTTTCTCAGTTTGAGAGGACTCAAGAATCTCACCATTTGTACTCATGCCTATGACCAAAAGCAAGATAAGGTAGATTTGACTGGTATTGTTGGAATGCTTGTGGGCAACAAAGACTTGGAGGTACGAGACATTTTCTGTCCATTTCTAGTAAGTTCCCAAATGTTCGCTTTTCAGAAATTGGATCTGCGACTCAAATCACCTATGACATTGTCAATAACACCTCTGATTATTACCGCACAATGGAACCGGTTACGCATCCTCCACATTTCTGGTCGAGTTCACTGTATTCCCTCTGCATTTTTGGTATTTCTTCACGCGCATCCGCTCATCGAGGAATTAGCCTTGGCACCATTGATAGTCGGGAAACGATGGTTTCGAAAGCCAAAAGTTCCGCCCTCAGAGCCACTTCTGCCCCACCTGAAGCGTTTACGGTGTAAGATCTTCCATGTAGTCTGGCTGGTGGAACATGGCGCAGGAGCAAAAGTTACTGAACTCACTGGAGTATCATTGCCTGAGCAAGTCGTCATGAACGACGTATTTTTTGATGATCCAGATGAAGTAGACGAGGGGGACGAAGATGACGTTGTACTCGATCATTCGGGCGAGGAAATATCATCTCCCTTTCGCGGGCCCTTTTTTTTTTTTTTTTTTTGGAGGTGCGCTATTACAGAGCCTTGGCAGCCGACACACTGGCATATAGCCAGCCGCACTAAGCCGTCGTCTCCAAGGTCTACGCAGGTTGATACAAGGATCAATGACCTTGTGATTGGTCAGTAACAGTCCCGGAATGATCAACTCCAAGGAAGAATGCATTTACGCACACTGGGACCCGGTACAGTTTTCCCGGCAGCCAGTAGTGTGGGACTATCAACCAGCCTAATCAAGTGATTAGGTGAAGACTACCCACTATAACTCCCTGTGGTGCTGATTTGGGCACGAGGACCATATGCCCAGGGCGGTGTTCGAACTAGAGACTTTGCGGATGTCAAAGATTCTAGTGCGAAACTTGTGTGATGCCACCACTACACCACACCGCCCCTCGCGGGCCCTTTTTGGATATTCTGAAAACCAACCGACTACCTTTACTGACCAAACTCGGTATACGGGGTAATCAAAACGACGTTCGAGACGTTGCAGCAGCATTTCCGCACATCCGCGAACTCATCCTTGACTCATGGGTACCTCAAGACAAATCAGTGCGTTCAAATTTTCCATAGCGCAAGGATTGTTGGCTTACCTAGTCTTACAGGATACCCTTCTTCCTCACTTGGCTTCATTCTCTTCTCTTACTGTTCTCAAAGCGACCGCCCTGTTTGAATCCGACAGGTATCATCTTTACAAATACCCCAAATACGATTTCGTAGGTAATGTTGCGCGCGTGTCCAAGCTTGCGGAGGCTTGTCCTTTGCTTGAAAGGATTGTTTTTGAAGACCAGCAAATTGTTTTGATA